CCGAGCTAATGAAGTTAAACAAAACTCTGAAGGATCTATTGTGCAGATAAGAGCTTATCCATTTCACTAAGTAGGGTGGGAAACCAGAGGCTTGGAGTTTAAAGATAAGTAGTCTGTGGTTAACCATATCAAATGCTTTGCTTAAATCAGTGTAAATAACATCTGTGCGAGAGCCACTAGAAAAAGCCTTGAAAACATGACAGGTAAACTCTAACAAGTTGGTGACTGTAGATCGCCCTTTCCGAAAGCCGTGCTGGTGCGGAGAAATATACGAATTAATGGCAAAGGCTAAATGCTGAGTCACAATACGCTCGAACAACTTGGGCAAGACACTCAACTTGGCTATGCCTCTGTAGTTCTCAACAAATTGTCTACTTCCACTCTTGTGGATAGGAATAAGGAAACTACTCTTCCAACATGAAGGGAAAACACCTGAACACAAGGACATGTTAAAAATCTTTGAGATCACACCACACAACTCGACAGCGCAAGATTTAAGTACACATGATGGAATTCCATCAGGTCCAGGCGAACAACTGTATTTTAGAGAACTTAACCCTTTGAAAACATCATCTTCCGAAATAACCAAGTTAGGTATTGAAACCGAGTTAGTTATAGGATATGGGTAGTTTGCTGATAACTCAAAATTAGCAATCGAAAAGTTTCGTCGGAAATACTCAGCAAATAGATTTGAGATTTCAAAATCATCCGAGGAACCAGAGCCATTAAAAGAAACATGAGAGGGATATGTGGAAATTTTTCTTTTAGAGTTAACAAATTTAAAAAAGAATTTAGGATTAGCAAACAGAGAGGATTTAATGAACTGAAGGTATCTGCAGTAATAATGATGGTTGAGGGAGTTAAATCTATGCCTCGCCACCGAGTAAGCGAAATAGTCGAGCGCAGAGCCACTTTTCGAATATTTTTTGAATAGCGAGTTTTTTCTATTCTTGTGATATTTAATTGTCTTATTAAACCACGGGGGACATCTGCTTCGAGGTCGACAATGCTTGATCGGAACAGATGCAGCAATAGCTAAATTTAATGTATTGTAGAACGATGGCATTAAGTTTTCAATACTACCGGTTGAGAAATCAAGCGTCAGATGTGAAAGACGATGTTTTAGTAATACAATATTGATTTTATGAAAATCATAATAATTATTTAAACAAGTTTGAGTTGGCACATTAAGGCATTCCAACAAACCATCATTAATATGATGAAAGGAAATGCATATTGATGGATGATAAGGATCCTCAGGTAAACTTAAAGGTGGGCAACGATTTACGTAAATCTCGGGAAAATTGGCAAAGCAGAGATCAAGCAGTCTACCATTACAATTAGGGGTACGATTATATTGAACCAAATTGTGATCAAACAATTCATTAAAGAACACAACAGCCCTATCAGACGTTGAAGTAGGAACCAAGCAGCCAGAATTATCAGTGTTACACCAAGTGACCTGAGGCAAATTGAAGTCACCCAATGCAACGACCAAATCGGTGGGTCTAGACCGCTTGGCCACTTCACAAATGAGGGAAGCGTGTTTCCCGTAAATGGAGATATCAGAATTTGGGGGAATATAGGAGCAGGTTATGAATAGATGTTTATCAGGCATATTCGCACGAATAGCGATAAATTCAACGTCAGGAGAAGTGGGAAATTCAATTAAATTGGACGGGACTGACGCAGATATGGCAATTAATACACTACCACCAATGCGATTCACTCGATCATTTCTAAACACTTGGAAAGAATTATGAAAAAGTTCCGACGAATGAAGATCGGGTTTTAGCCAAGTTTCAGTAAAGGCCAAACAGAAAAATTCCGTGCTCACTGAATTTAGAAAAGTGGAACGAATTTTCGAATTTAGGCCCCTAACATTTTGATAAATGAGAGATAGTGGGCCTGAAGAAACAATTAGTTTTTTGAAGGCGACAAGACTATTGCCTTGGTATTACGGGGACGATCACGAGGGATAAATTCCTTAATTAAGGATCCTACCGGCCACAGTGATTTGTTTAACAACATATCACTGTTTTCAGTCGGAACTAATATTTTAAAAGAGGAGATTGCCCTAGCTTGAGAAGGAGCCATTTTGAAGATGCTAACACGCTTTAAGTTGACTGATGGGACTTTCGTCGTCAGATAACCTTTTATGTTATCCACCGATGTTTCAGGTGCCAGTCTTGACACAAATATTGCTTTTCTGGGAGGAACTGCCGTCAAGCAAATGTCATTATTTGGAACAGGAGGGGGTTCACAGTAGGAGAGTTTCGAGTTGGGGAAAATATAGATGGGGTTATCGCCCTTGTACCGGCAGCTTGTGAGACTTGCCCAGTCTGGTGACCAGCATTCACACGCGAACAGGCAGGAGGAGAGGATGACTTATTTTTCTCTTCATTACTTTTAGGCGATGGCACTTGATTAGAGTGAGTGGCGGCTCTGGGCGGAGATACCCTTGCCACTTCAGCGTAGCTTAAAACCGATGGACTTGCCGGTTTGTTTGTAACTGTTTTGCTACCAACCGAATCAGCAATATCGGAAACATTACTATTCATTTTAGAGTTAGAAGGAGCGGTAACTTGTACCAACGAATTAGATTTGGAGAAAGCCAGAGGTGACGTCCCACACGCTACGCTACGAGTAGAAGATGAGTGTCCAATAAAGCGACACTCATCAAACCTCACTAAGGCAGAATAGCCACGAAATTCAAGAAAAAAATTAAAATTTTATTTGCCGACACAAAAAATACACGACTATACCGCGCGACAAAGTTGCCAGATTAGAAATATGATTTAGACAAAGGACTTCCGCTGAGTTGAACATTTCATGAACTTTCGATGATGTTGGGCATCGATTTGACGTCGTTTTAGCTTTTAAAATTTTTTCTATAGTTTGAAGGTTCCCGGCAAGAACGAGTAAATTTCTTTCATGTAAAAGCGAAATAGAGTCAATCTCGGATGAAAGGCAGTGTAAACGTCTTTTAATTACAAAAGGACCTGCTTTGGATATTACATTTTCTTTGAATGTATTCACAATAAATATTTTATCAACAAAATGAGCGTTAATTAAGGGCAATGATAAAAAAACCACTCCGTTTTTAGTTTTATTTTTAGGAGCAGGATTTAGATCTGATAAAAACTGGAATCTTTTAGAGGTTTTATCCGGTGGCCCGGGAGCCATGGCGTGATTGAAATGTTGAGCATTAATAGACAAAGCATTGGAGATATTCTCTGGATGAAAAAAGAAAAGATAATATTGTTATGAAAATCCCAAATGGAGTTCATTCCGGATAATTAATTGTCCCAAATTTTCGCAGGCGTCATGCAGCTGCCAGCCGAGGAAAACGATTACCGGAAAAGCAGATTAACGGATTAAAAATGAAGCCTTGAAGTCAGGTAATAGTAATATGCTCGTAAAAATGTATATAAATGGAATATTTACGGAAGTCGGAGTGAGTCGGACAAGAACATTTGAGTCGAGAGTATTGCCAAAATATATTGTGAATAATCCTACTGTTAAGGAATATAATTGTAAATAAAAGAATTTTAAAGTGTATTTCTCATGAACAGAATATCTGCGATCTGGTGGTATGGGTCCTATCTATGGAAAAGCGAAATTCGTAACAATATGTTGAGTACTTTTTCAAGTTTGGCAACTTTCACTTATGAAATTTTAGATATGTATTTTTTTTTTAATTTTCTCTTTAGTTAAATTTATAAAAAGAAGAAAAGGAGAGACCCCACGGACACTCCTCTTCCCATTTATGGTTCTTCTATCCCATTTGTTAAAACGTGCGACTTTTTAGGCTTTGTCCTACACTCGCAACTTTCCTCTGCTGCTCACATTGACAAAATTGCCAACTCGTTAATGTATTGAAATCTTAGGGCTCTGACCCTTCCTGCATGATTAAACTTTATGTTGGCTTAATTAGACCAAAATTAGAATACGCCTGTTCACTCTTATTGGATATCCCAAAGAAGCACCTTCTGAAATTGTGCAAAATCCAACGGATATGCATCCGTCTGGCTCTTGATGGCAAGAATTCTATACACGCACTAAGCTTGACACAGATGGCAAATGTTATGCCTCTACAAGAGAGTTTTCAATCACCAATTTTTCATTTAATAAAATTTTAACTTTTGAAAATCATCCGGCCTTATCCATCATTTACAACTTTATATCGCTGAATTCCTTTCCTTGTTTCTTTAAAAGATCTTATTCACCATATTAGAACCTAAAATGGATGTCTTCGTTTTGGTAATGGGCGGTCAAACTCGTACATCTCCTGTAAACATAATATACAACGAAAGTTATGTTTTAGATTCAAATGCGAAACGTACAAACAAACTAAAATTTGCAAACAGCGAAAATAAATACTTCAATCTATTTACCTTTTGAAATTCTGCCATATTTTCTGCGCAATTCTGCCTGTCGATTATGTTTGGTGATGTTTTAAGATGTTTTCATGTTCCATCAATTTCTCGTTTTCAATTGCACTGTCACCATCGTTTTCTAAACCTATTTTTTTATGGACATCCCAATCTCTGTCGTCTTTACAAAATTCATCAGTACCTTTTTCATCAGAAGGTAACAAAGAAATTGTACGCATACGTTCTCGCGACACTAGAGTGTGACGTTTCCCTATTGCCTGGCGTTTCTCAGAGCGAAATGTTTTTTTTTTTGTAACAATTCTCCGTGCTTTCTTTCAACATCATTTAACGAATGGGCTAATGAAACACCAGAATATGGCTTATATGATTTAATACTTCGGGGCTGATTGCTTACAACATTGTTAGATAAGGTGTCTGAATGGCTGGCACCGTTCTGCGCACAAAGTACGTAAAATATATATCGCATACTTTTTTCTCAATCGTATTAACTCTTCTCGCTTTTCTTTCGGGCTTTTTTAATTTGCTTCTATTAATCGTTTAGTAATTTCTTTACGCTTCTTTAACTTTTCTTCTGGTATTCCACTTGTTTAGCTCCTCAATATAATTACAAACTATAAAGTTATGATTGTGGAAGGTACTTTCGTTGCATGTAAAAGTAATCGCATTTAAATGTGCCGGATACTTCATTTCTAATAAACGGAACAAGTAAGACGCCATTTCGTAGCCGTCTAAATTCAGGCGACGTACGTGTTTGTATTTGAGTTGCCCTGGCATTACATGGGTAGTGTGATAAACGAGTGACAAAATTAAGGCGTTGTTTTCATGCGCGTGTTTATTTCTATGCCAGCTGAACATGGAATCAGCATTGAAACAATATTTCGTTCAGAGCTGCAAAAGAAAATCAATAAAAAATACTGTAAAATCACTTGAATATTTTTTAGCAATAACAATAAGTTGGATTAGCTAAGGGCTCTGTTATCAACGCAGAAAATGGTTTACCGTCCCCAGTTTGCTAAATATGGTCCCATATTCCTTTCAAATTGATTTTTTATCAGCAATCGTGTAGCATCTACGTCGATTTCACTTCCTCTTTGGTAAACCATTGGTCATTGGCCATTGGTATGGCCATTTGGATCCTCCCGCTTATCCTTCCATGGTTTTGCGATCTACCACGACATTTGTACGAGACTGTAACAAAAGGGAAAAAGTATGTATAATTTGCGAAGATATCCATGATTTTCAATACCTTAGTATTATCTAGTATTATTTTTTTTTTTTTTGTTGACTTAAGATGGACGAAACCAGTAATATTTTTAGTCCATTTACTAATGACTAGAATTTTATTGCAAAGCATTGTCTTCTTTTTCTGTGGGTCAGCAAATCAAAACTAGTTGAGCCGCTGGGTTCAAAGCATTGTCTAAAATTATGAAACCTGCAGAATAATCACTTATTTAGAAGTTAACTTTCTCTCCACGGCAGTTCATAAACGTTTTTTGCGAGTATGTGGAACTTTCGTGTCGATTTCTACTATCCTTCACATTCAAATGAAAAGACAGAAAGAAAGGGACAAATTTTTGTTTATATTCAATTGCGGCTGTCAGAATCCAAAAAATAACAGTTAGTTCTCGTCTCTGATAAATAAACAAACTATTAATGAAGTAGTTGGCAAATATTCAATCAATAAATTGGAAAAAGAAGAAAAAATAAGCTCTCGAAAATTGACCATAAGCTTACTCTTCTCCTATGTGTTATACATTTTTTGCAAGACGGAAAAAAGCTCTGTAGTATAATGCACAAAAATTGCATAAGGATGAAATTTATCAATTAATTTTACAAAAATTATGCAAGTAAAATAATTTTTAGTGAATATTTTAAAGCATTAAAATTGGCGCAGCTGGTAATTGCAAAATTGAAAAAAAATTTTTTTTCTTTAGATCTAAGCCTTTTCGCGTTTGCGTGTGATTATCTCAACGTCACAACGATAAGAATTGTTCTAGCGAATTATACACAATGACTAATTATGTTCCGGTGGTTCGGTAGTGATTACGATTAAAAAGGACTTAATCTAATGGGTAGGAAAGTCTGTACATGCAAGTCACAGCAAGGGTAAGAGAAGTAGCGCTACATATCGCAGTCTATGTTGATGCCGTAAATGCAAGATCAGCAAACTGAATTTAAAGGTGTCATCAATAAGAGCGAGAAAAGGCTGCTACAGTATCGAATTTCATTTTTTTGTATATACGGAATTTTGTAGTTCTGTTTTAATATTGACACTTACACAAACTTTCGAACGACACATACTAAATATTTATCTTTACTTATTTACGAATCTATCTCTTCTTTCCACTTCCAACCAAGATAGGAACCTAAGATTCTTTAATAAAAAATGTAGATTCAGAAGGCCGCATTTCTTGGAATTCTTTCAAGAGAGACGTGTGCTTGCAAGTGTTAGCTAAAAATTGACTAAATAAGTGTGGAAACTGCTCTAAACCGGTGATATTGATTATTATTTGATGGATTTATTTGAAACATTAAAAATTGATATAAATTACTGTGTCAAACCATTATAAAAAGCATATAAAAGGATTTTAATAAGTGATTGATTATATCATTTGTTTGTGTGCATGTTTGCAAACATATGTGCATAAAATCTATAAGTGACGCTAAAGTGCACAAGACAAGAGGAAACACTTTAAATTCCGTTTGTTGTGTGCTGTAAAAGACAAATCATTTCGTTTCGTTCGAATTTGCTAAATTGGAACAGGTGGAATTGAAATTTGCTGTTATTGATTGATGGCGGTGTTCGCTTGCTGGTTGCTGCAGTTGCTGATTCCTGCACTAGGTGGCGCTGGTTGGGGCTGAAAAAACCGTCCAGGGTGAGTGTCTTTTACATATATATTTTATTATATATATTGATGAATAAATCACTTCGCCCTATATATTGAAAGAGTGCACTGAGTGGGGTATTTTGGCTATACTGGAAAAGTAGGGAAGCGCAAGAAGAAGCCTGCCCTGAAAAGTGTTGGGGGGATGTCCGAGGAAACGACGTCATCCGATGAAGAATTGATGGTGGTGAAGGGTGGCCAGAAGGCTGGACCACTAAAAGGGGGTGGTGCAAAACGCAACCACAGTCCGTCCGATGTGTCGGACTGTGACACCGCGGTTGAGGGGAATATGCGCCGTAGCGACTCTATGCCTACGGTTTCAAATTCTCGGTCGGTGAAGAGGCGTAGGGAAAAAACCGGCACTGTAGCTGCACCCGTTGCCTTTGCCCCTGTAGTGGGCGCGGCAGCTTCGGCGGCTAGCAGGCCAGTGCGTGCGGGGGAGCGGAATGCCGCTGCAGGATCGGTGAGCCAGATGAAGGCGATAACAAATCGCCTGTAGAAATGTGATCTTTCGCCGGATAGCGTCTCTTTGAAGAGCTGCCGGTGATATTTTGGGCCTTAGCGGCGAATATGAAACGATCCTCTTCGGCCTAATAGCCGAAAATGACAATGAAATTGGTCCAGGAGCCGTGCGTATCCCTTGGTAGGCTCAAGGGCCTGCCAGCTGCTGTGCGGGTGTTTCTCGACGACAATAGCCACTCTGCTGTCATTGTGAATGATGTGAATGTGGAAGCCACACTTGTCCTGGCAAGTAGTCACGGCGTCTGTGTGTCCGTTGAAGGCCCGCACGGAAGGTTGCTCTGTGCAAGCCTTTACTGTAAGTTTAACCAAGAACTGGATGATTACCTCAGATATATGAATTCGGTGTTGCTGCTTGCTGGCGACACCCCATTGATCCTGGGGCTGGATGCTAATGCTTGCTCACCCCTATGGTTCAGCAAGATGCCAGAACGTGTTTCTGGCTTAAGCAACAAAATAAGGGGTGAAGTGCTGTCCGAGTGGTGTATAACCAGAAGTGTCCAGTTGTAAAATGAGCCGAGTGAATGGTTCACTTTTCATGGTCCAGTTGGGGCTAGTGACATTGATGTCACTATTGCCAATAGGTCAGCAATGGGCTTGTTTTATTTTTTTTGGGGGGGGGTGAAAGGAGGTTGCGGTATTAGTGATCACCATGTTATTGAAGTGGTGATGAACTGTACCCCTGCCACGCCGATTGAAGTTGACATCAAACGTTGGCGTACTTCCGGGGTAAACTGGGTCACCTACGGGGTCCTTATTCGGGAGGCGGTTATTGCTGTGCCGTTTGGAGACTTTCAGAGGAAGCCCTTAGGTGAGCAGGTAGACCACATAACTGAATCGGTTTTGTGTGTCAACGACTTGTTCTTCGAGAGATGCCGCAAGGCAAATCAAAGAGGGGTTAAGTGGTGGACACGTTGTCTGTCCGAAAAAAGAAAGCCCGTCCGCCGCCTTAGAAGGCAGTTTCAGCGAGCGAGAAGGTCCAATGCTGCAAATGCCGTTCGGCTAAGAGTCGAATTGAGGCAATGCCTCAATGACTATAAAGGCATGCTTATTGTGACTAAAGAGGACGACTGGAGAAAATTTGTCTCTTGTAATCGTGATGACCCTTGGGGTCAAGTTTACCGTGTTGTCAAGGGAAAAAAATCCTTGGAGGTAAGCGGTATTCGTACTCCTAATGGAGTACTATCCACTTGGAGGGAGTGTTTGAATGCATTACTTGAAACATTCTTCCCTGGGCAGGATCATGAGGTGCTTCTCAATACCGGGTTTGCGCCGCCTGCCCCTCCCTTGGAAAGGTATGAAGTTGAGTATGCAATTTCCAAAGTCAGAGATCAGGTATTGACGCAATTACTGGGGAGATGGAAAAAGCCATCTGGAAGGTTATTCCTGATTACATATATACGACTTACTGTCTGTGTCTGTCTGAAGGCTCTTTTCCACAGCAGTGGAAAATGGCAAATGTTGTAGTTCTGCTGAAGTCGTCTGATAGCGTGAGGAATGATTCTTCATATTATCGGGGCATCAGTCTTCTCCCAGTATTTGGGAAAGTTCAGGAGAGGATAATGATAGAGAGGCTTCAGATGATTCCTACTCTTAGTCTGTCTGATAGGCAGTTTGGCTTCCGTAGCGGGCTCCGCACGGAAGACGCCTGGCTACACGTGCAGGCATGTGTCACGGAGTGTAACGAGCAATATGTCTTAGGCATACTTATTGACTTTAAGGGTGCGTTCGACCATCTCAACTGGAGTAATATACTCGCCAAGCTGGGAGAGGTATATTGCCTGGAAATTAAACTCTCGGCAAGCTATTTCTCGCAGAGGCGAGCTTGTGTTGTCGGTAGAAACGACATTGTCTTCAGGGATGTGGTTAGAGGCTGTCCGCAGGGATCTATCAGTGAACCATTTATATGGAACATTATGATGGATGGCTTGTTAAGGCAGTTAGAAAGCATGTACGTCGAAATTAATGGAATATTTAATTTCTCTGCACATGCAGATGACCTGCTCATCTTAGTGAGGGCTAGGTCTAGGAAAGTAATAGAAGAATGCGGTGAAAATCCCATGAGAGTGATTGCTGCATGGGGACATAGTGTCAGATGTATCATTGGAGAAAACTGTGATGATGCTGCTGAAAGGCAGCCTCTCATCCAGCAGACCTCCAGTGATCAGAGTGAATGCGGTTAGTCTTAGTCTTAGCCAAGTACCTAGGAATTACCATGATTTATCGTGGCAAGTTTACCCCTCACCTTGATAAGGTTAGGGATAAACTTATGAATGTGGTAGGACAGATACGTCGTGTCCTGAGGTGTGAATGGGGCCTTACCAGACGTGCCGTGCGGATAATATACAGCGGTCTCTTTGTTGCTTGCGCAACAAAAGGAGCTGCTGTGTGGTGTTCAGACGTTACGTCTGTTGTAGGGCGAAGTAAGATTTTGAGCTGCATAATGTTGTTGGCGTGTCTGCCCGTTTGTAAGACGGTCTCTACTGACGCTCTACAGATACTGATGGGTGCACCCCCTCTGGACCTTGAGGTGTTACGCCTTAGTAATGCTTACAGGATAAAGAGGGGCATGCCCCTACATGACGGGTTAAATACTCAGGATGTAGAGAGATTAAATCCTCGGGAGCGTGAAACGCTGTTAAAGGAACGTGTCCGTGCCTTATGGCAATCACGTTGGGAAAAAAGTGAGAACGGTAGAGTTACTTTTAACTTTATTCGTGATGTTTCCTTTGTAGAAAACCACCCGGGTTTTAGCTTTAGTCTACATCTCGGGTTTCCACTCACGGATCACGGATCTCTGAATGCATTTTTGCACGAAAGAGTCTGTTCTGAAACAAGGGCTTGCCTCTGTGGCAGTCCGTCCGAAGACTATGAGCATGTGTTGTTGGTGTGCCCTGAGTACTCTGCATTCAGAGATTTAGAGGCCATGGGAATCAAGCTAGTTCACGGCAGCATTGATTGCAGTCTGGCTCTCTCTACTCCTGAGACGACAGCTGCACTGAGCGCGTTCGCATCTGGGGTTTTCTTCAAGCGCCGGGTAATTCGACGAGGT